GTGCCTCCGCTTTAGACGACCCCTTTTTTGGGTAATATCTGGTATCTGTACAACCTATGATCTGATGATCATCACAGTACTTAACTATTACAATCGAGTTTGATAAATAGTTAACGCGTATCAGTTCTAAGTTCACGATTGATGAATAGAACGAACTCAAAGACCTATAAAAAAAAAATAGAGGAATCGTTAAATCATTGATAATAAAAAAAATATATAAGAATAATTTTTTCTTGGTCGTACTTGCTTTTTTATCTTGCTATTAGGATTTTTTTACTTGTTTTAAGTATCTTTTGTATTGGCGAAGTTATGCAATTAATACGGAAGATGATAATACCAATGCTTTGTAGGTTGCCAATCTTCGTTATAGCCAATTCAGTAAAAAAATTATCAGATTATTATTGATAATAACTTTAATTGGCTTCACATATTTTTAGATATTTGCTTGGAATTCGATAGCAGAAGTGAAAAAAAACAAATTTTCCTCAGGATTATGCATATTCAATCCAAAATTTCAATTATTTGCCGCCACACCAAACGCAAGAAGGTTTTAATATTTCGAATTTTGAGTTAGAGATGTTCGTGGATATCAATGATAAAGAGGTGCACATGAATGGGTCAAAACATTTCAATCATGCTCAAGGGCATAAACCATTATTTTTATGGACAAGAGAAATTTGTCGACATTTTATTTTGGCGATCTGTGATGAAAAATATAATACTATCAAACGGTATACCGAATTTTTGACTTGTTTTCTATGTTTTTTAGAAACTTAACATCGGATATTGCCTTGTAAGTTTCCCTTTTTCGAAAAACAACCATGCCTCCAACAAGAGGCTATGACATTAAAGGGAATCTGGATTGTTTTTACAAGAACACAAGCATATACTCCTGTGCAAATATTTCATTTTATTACTACAAATATGGAACGATTTTATGAAAGGCGTTTATTCGGTGTTGCACATAAACATCAAGGCATTTTATGCGATTTCTATGTCCCGGTTGGGAAACGGTCAATCCAAGCTCAATTCAAAAATCGACGAAGTGATCGTAGAGTACGAAGAGAA